ACCACATAACTGAAGGCCTGCAGGGCCATGGGTGCCTAATGCTGGTGTGGTGGGTGCGGGAATACGTTGAAAGGAGCTACTACCAGGATCATCCAATGGGTGTCCTGTCTGGAGGCTCCAGTCTAGCAGTGTAGGGTAGTCTGTTAGACACCCAGACAGGATGACCCAGGTAGGGCTCAACAACTCTCGATTTCTGCTGGAAATGGTGCTGGGTGGAGGGAAATACCTCTGCTGCGGCGCCGCAGGGAGTGAGGGTTTTGGCCCTTGCCATATGAGCTCAGACTGACGTAACATGACGCATCCGCAATTAGATAAGCATGGAAACTGGGAACATGAAGCCTTTCTTTTCAGTGCCCTGGTGCTCCGTGCGGTTTCCAGGAGTTGACCTTGAGATGACAAGAATCGAGAAAAAGCAAAAGCAAAGGTGACGTGAAAAACACACTGAAGAATCATATGAATCCAGAAAGAGAAGAGTTCTTGGATGGTGCTGCGCCCAAACTTGAACAACAAACCAGAGGTGTGATGGACAGAAGTGGGTCCTCATAATGGGCCACTTGTGCTAGCAGTGTGTCGGTGCTATTCTACGTTTGGCACGACATTTGCATCGCTGACGTCAGCCAAACAAGATATGGGCCACCATGAGAATTTGCAAACGTGTACACCAGGGGCACCTGTATGGTGTTGGACATGACATGAACAGAAGGATGGAGGCACGAGTGCCGAATCAGAAGCTTTGTTGGAATCACTGTAGGTTCACTTGCCGCCCTCCCCAGGTTTGCACATGCAAACCTTTGAAACCGTTTCAGGCATCGACCTCGGCGACGATCGGCTCCCTCCCGCTTCTTCTGGCTATCCTCCCCCCCCTCATGGATCCCCAGCCTCGCATGAAGCGAACACCAAACACCCCTCTGAGAAGCTGTGACCGCTGGTCAAACGACTTCAGACTGCACGATGTTTCTCCGTCCACCGAGGAGGAGGTGGATGGATTGTTACAACTCATTGCTGATGTTCGAGGCGAAAGCCTAGAGGCCGAGAGGACGGGACTGGCCGAGAGGACGGACTGGCTGGTTACTATGATGTGTGCTATTTTGCGTTACTATGTGTTGATGTCTTGGACTGCTGGATTAAGGATCCCGTTTTGGTTATCCAGTTGTAGTTGAAGAAGTTCCACAGATTACTCCACAGATCATTCACCATGTACAATCATGATATGTTATCCCAAGTGTGTGTGTTTGTGTGTTGGTTTGTTTGTCGTTTTGAAAGACTCATGTTGTAGATGTCACTAGGTCCTACGGATTCGTACGGATTCCTGCGGCAAAACCCTGTATACTGTGTACATATCTTTATCTTTAGGCATTTCTAGGCTCATTTGGATGGATCCATCCTCACGAAAAACCCACCCCATCGTCACATGGCGGGCTGTAGAGGATCCGCGAGTGCAGAACTTTGCGCCGATTCGCAGGTGGATCCTGTTGCCTTAAATGAGGTGAGGATTTTCCTGCAAGAACACGAGGCGCGTCGAGTCTCCTCATTTGAGCAACCACTTTTACTTGGTCCCGACAGAAGTCGTCTACGGTATGCTCTAATTGTTTGTCCAACATCAATCGATGCTGCTCATTTGTTCTTCTGCTCCTCAAAAAAAACGGCCCCACGGGGTGGTCGGCAGGAAGATTCGATGGAAGGATGTGGATGAGAAAGTGATGCAGAGCACTCACGCATGTGTTAGAGTGGGACCTATTAATTGAGTCAGGTGCAAACCCAGGTGGTGTTTGAGTCCTTGACATCTCCAAGTCTCCAAGTAGATCCTTTTGTTATCTTTTGTTCATGGTTTTGTTGAAGGCAAAGGCTGGGACCTTTTTATCATCCCCAAGATGGGTGCAGGAGGTAGCTACTTTGCCAACGGCGGATTACTTGTTTCTGGGTCTGAGAGGCACCAGCATAAGCTTCGCGTCACATCGGAGAATCTATCGACAACTGTGGGATTTTTCGGACACAAGGGCTGGCACTGCCAGATCAAACCTAAGAGCTTTGTTTCCAAATAACAATCTCTTTTTCCAACTTTTCCCAGCTCCTTTGCCCAGACTCCAATTCAGTCCTCGTCCCCAAGACCACGCCCAGGCGGAGAGCGCGAAGAGCGCCACGCATTTGGTCTTAGAAAGCTATCCTGACTGGTGGGTCAGGCCCATATGTCCTGCCAGGGGCGATGTGTTTAGACCAAGTGGGGTTGAGGGTGGGAACGGGGGGAAGGGGCATCTCTCCCACGAAGTGGCTCAAAAGATCAAGAATGACCTGGAGTTGCACGTCTATTTCTTTTGTGCCACTTGGGGTCTTGCATGGATACCTTGTGTAGAGCTCACTGACATCAAAGAAACTTGCTCTCCAGATCTGACTTCTACCAGAGGCGATCCATGAGTTTTTGTTCTTCCATGCTCTTCCCATCCGTCCGATCAGCAGACTTGTCGGGAATCGCACGTCGCAGGAAGAAGAGAGTGAGGTCCTTGGAGATGTTGAGTACCAGTGGAGTGAGGCTGAATTTTCAGTAAAATGGCGGATGCTGGTACTTGTATTGATCAAAATGAGAACGAAAGAAGACAAGATCTCATTATCACTAGATATCACCAGGTATAGATTCTCTTCTTTGGGTCCATTTTTGCTGAAGGCTTTGCAATGCTTTGTATAGAACGCTCATCATCAGATGTCTTAGTGAGCATTCACCTTTGTGTGTTTGGAGTCGGAGCATTTGTGTTGGAGTTGGAGACATATATATATTTGTTGCCAGCATCCATATTGAGGGACAGTTGAAATATCCCCCTGGCAATTTCCTCTCTAAAACGAGGGGTGTGTGCCCCAAAAGCGCAATTTTAGGGAAACTTGTTTTTGCTATAAAATCAATATTTGTTTTCTGTTGCCATGGATTCACGATATCCCAAGATCCGACATTTTAGAGAAAGATTTGCGAAAGAGTCAACATGGAAAAAGGTAAAAATTAGGACAGTTCTAGAGAATTTATGTTTTGCAATGTGCATGTGCAAATGTTAATTCTACAGAGAAGAGGTGTGATTGCAAAGAATTTAGTCTTGCATTTTAGAGAGAGAGAGAGAGTGAGTTGGAGAGTGCAACATTGGGTTTTGATTCTATAGGAAGCCCGTTTCTAACGCTTTGCTTGCTTTGCTCAACCATGCTGTTGAGATGGAAACAGGTTACCATTTGTATGAGATGACATGAGATGACGCTAATTTACACTAGAATTCCGTAGAAGTCCAAGGAGAAAATATCATAAGAACAAATAAGAACAGAGCAAAAGGTTACACAGAGCAGTTGTGCGGAACCCGATCCAACGTTCCAGTTGAGATCTCATGAAATATCATGCCAATACCTTTTGCATCCTTTTGGTAGCATGTGGTAGTCAACAATCGACCAAGTGAGGAACTTGGAAAAAGAAGCTGCTCATGGATATGGGATCACATCAAATCGTATATCAAATCACAACAAATCACATCAAATCACTCTAAATTGGAGTCATTTGACTCTAAAATGCTTCTCTCTAGAATTGAAGACTTCTTGCATGTATCTCATCAGCTTCCTGCTTGTCAGATTTTGGACTTTAGAGTGGGCCAGGTGAGGGGCAAATCTTGTGGATTCTAAGGGTCAACCCGGTCATTTTAGAGTGAAGTGGTTTTGTATGGGTTTTCAATTTAGAGACAAACTTGGACACCCAAAACAGGTTTAGGTCTCTAAAATCAGGGGCACTACCCTCACCTGGAATTCCCAAGAGGATGTTGACATGCCTTATGATTTATGCCTGAGTAAATGGTAGAGTGGTTTACTCTCATGCTAAGTAAGACCTTGTAACATAAGAGGTAAGTCACATAAGTTTCAAGAGCTAATTAGCATATAGAGGTAATGCACACTTAGCAAAGAGTATGCACACTCAGAGGTACTTCATGGTATTTCTAAGAGTCACATAGAGGTATGCACGCTCAGCTAATTGCTAATGAGCTAATATGTCACATAAGAGATAAGTCACTAAGTCCATATTTGTCCTTGGCTCACTGGAGAGGGCAAGGGCACTGTTTTGCTGCCCAAAGGACTTGGAAAGTATTCTTCCTAACGAGTGCCTTTTCCATGTTCGATCTCCCCGTGGACCCCGGAGCTCAGGCCCCTCCTGGTCTAGACATCCAGGGTGCTGACGCTCTTGAGGAACTCAACGGATCGGATCGTGTCGGAGGTCTTTGGAGCGGTCGTTGGAGGTCTCAAGAGAAGACCATGGACCATGGTGGTCAAGCGAAGACTGTGAGACCTGTCTCTCCTACTTCGGTGTCGCCGGGCACTTGTGGACTTATAAGTAAGAGTGTAAGTGTACTTAAGGGAGGTTAAGTGGGCTGGTAAGTAGGTTAAGTGGTTCATAAGTTCAATTTTTTTTTCGTTACTTATGATGGAGATAGCTACTTACCGCCCTACTTATAAGTAGGATGCTGTTGAAGTTGAAAAAGGTCGTTTCTACTTACGATAGTACTTAACCTACTTAGCTTTTTGTATGTGTTCAAGACGTTTTTAAACATATGTCTAAAACAGAGTCATTTTGCAAACATTTTTGTTTTCACGTGCTGGGCAGTTTTGGCTCACAGGCGCGTTACGTTGGGTCGGAGGCACCTCCATTTATTTTTTCCGCGTATGGCGGGTGCTTTTGAGAAGGCAATGGTTGCCGGCCAGAAATTTTTAGAAGGCTTGCGCAGCCTTCCGAGCTACAAGGACGCACAGCAGAAGCAGCTGCGAGCGCTCTTGAAGCAGTTGGGTTCGGTCACTGATCTGACCACAGGTCAGTCAGGCAAGATCTTGTCAATGCTGGATGAGAAATTGTGGGACCACGAGTCTCTACAGCAGTTGCGGCAGCAAATAGCTGCCGGGTGTACCACAGGACGGGGAAGAAGTCCGCAGCCAGCGGGGTGGTTGGCAGACCTTGGCAATGAACCCTGGCAGACCTTGGCAATGAACCCCGCCTTGCACGTGGAAGAGATGTTCACAGCTGCGGATGCCCTGATGTCTTTGATCCCGCTGGTGCGTCGTGCAGGTCTGGAAGAACTGCACGACTGGCTGGAAACTGCGCTGCTGGTGATGTCGGCTGCGCGCCGGCGGCTGCAGACTTTGCATGTTCTGAGATGTACAAAAACGGCTTGTTCGCCGTTGTCCGCGGTTGTCCGCCGTTGTCCGCCGTTGTCCGCGGCCGAAACGGACACTCTGCGCGATGTCCGCCGTTGTCCGCGGAAGCCTAGGATTTGTAGCCTGCGGAGGGGGAAACCTTGTCCGCGGTTGTCCGCGGACGACGAAACGCTGCGTATCTGTGAGAAAACACTTGTCCGCGATGTCCGCGATGTCCGCCGCTCTAAAATATATGATTTTCTGTTTGTCCGCGGCCTCTCACGAACTTTTGTTGATTTGTGGTAGTTTTGCTTCCGGTTGTCCTGTCTCTGGATACGTTTTTTGGTGGTATCTCTGACATGAGATCACTGCAGTTTTGCATTGGCTCAACCGCGACCCCGCTATAGTTCCCCCTCCGAGATGGCTAGCGCAGATGCACCTGCGAGCGGTGCAGACTGCTTGTGCCGCCTGTGTGGCCACAAGTTCAGACTGGACCAAGGCCGCTCGCGATCTGCACAGACGTTTGAGTGTCACCCGATGGGCTCACTGCTGAGGGGCGAAACTTCATTCCGGGTCAGATCTACATCTTGGACACCAAAACGGCCGTGGAAATCACGGGAGCAAGAGTGGAGCACTGCCAACACAAGCTGGAAGCAAATGTTCTGGTCCTACGCTGGCGTTCAGACGGCGGGCTTCACGCGCTGGTTGCGCCAAACTCCTGCTATGCATCAAACTGTGGCGGTTTCTAGGCTTCTGCAGAGGCGTGAAGCGCTCTTCGTGCGTAAAGATGGACCAGACGTGTGGCTCCTGCAGTGAAAAAGACCGCTTGCGCGCGCGTTTTTCGCTTTTTCGTAAATCTTCACGAAAAACACACACTTCTACTTAACCTACTTACAAGTCTACTTATAAGTATGGTTCTAAGTACGAAAATACGTATCTAGCTAAGTAGCATCATAAGTAACTTATAAGTCCACAAGTGCCCGGCGCCACCGAAGTATGGAGGTCTTCTCTTGAGATGACCTTTTCAAGGAGTCTAGCTAGGACATTCTGTGTCACACTCTTCGCCATCTGTTTTGCAAATGCGCCCGGTCGTTTCGCGCGAAAGCAGACCCACCGACCGCGCGTGGCCACTGACGCCTCCGTGGTTCACCTGGAATCCCCGGAGGAGCTCTATCGGCACGTGGGCTTCATGCACTCCCTGGGCGTCCCGATGACCTTGGCAGAGAGGCCGAGACGGGCCGGCCGGCAGCATTGGGTCTCCCAGGCGTCCCGACCCCCTGGAAGAAAGGAAATTGACAAAAACCCATTGGTTGGGATGTTGGGGTTTTGAAATACACACTCACACACACCCATATGCTCGTGTTCACGCTTCGATACGCTTTGTACCTGTATGAACCGGTGAAGCCGGTTTCGATGCCATGACAATGGTTAAGTCCGACATGACAAAGATGGGAGACCAATGACAGTGATTGTGCCGTCTATCCAAAATGTTTTTTTATTTTAATCGAATGGACCCCCCCTTATTGTACACTTCTTGTAGAGGGAATCATCAAGATTGAGTGATTCATGGGATGATGTGGTTGATTGGACAAACTCTATACAGTCGTCTACACTTTCACAGCCCTGCATGAGTGACCCAGCGCTTACTGGATGTGACCAGGTATCTCGGTAGGTGCATCAAAAGGTGTGACCAGCAGTTTCCCTTTGCCTGGTTGGTCCTATTCGAGGGCGGTAGAGTCATCCCAGGTGTCCCATGAAGTGTGGCAAGGCACATCATGGCACGGCAAAGGTTTGCGCCTTCAGAAGCACACGGGTCAAAGAAATATATACACACATGTAGATACAGAGCAGAAAGGACCTACTGTGTTTTTCCCCTACGCGACGAGTGATGCTAAGTTGCATGCGGGTTGGCGTTCGGTGTTTCCGGAGAATTAGCGCGGAAGAAGTGCTTTTGACCCTTGTGCGCCTCTGAAGAACTGGTTGTTCAGAGCTAAGCGAGGGTACAAAGCACTTCTTACTTTTTTGCACTGCTACTGGCAGCATGTGATGTCCAAAAAGCTATTTCATAGGGCTGGTCCTAGTGTGGATACCCCAACACTCCGACCCCATAGCCGGGTCCAATGATGGTTGGGGTAGACTATTTGTGTCACCCCTGGTGATTCTTTCGCAGTCAAAGTCTCCTTCAACATCTTCGTTTGTGCTTCTAAGGCCGCAGCAAGCTCTCCCCCGCCAACAACCGAACCTTCGGACTCGCGTTTGAGAGCCTCCAATTCCATCTCTAGGGCAGCGACCTTCGCGCGCAACGGCGAGTCTCCTCCGCTCGTCGCATGCTTTGCGAGTCCTGCACGCCCAACTTCCTTCAGCGACATCGCAGCTCGAGTCGGAGAGTCGAGAACGGGGCCTTCCACTGAAGTTGTGCTGAACAACTTGTCGCTCTTGGAGCTCTCCTTTCCACCAAGGGCCAGGATCACCTGCCCAAGAACTTCTGCCTTCATGATCGGAGTCCAGCGCGACGAACGCGAACCTGTCCCACAAAGCGCGAACTAGGGCCCGGACATCCCAAATGCCCACCTGGTCATAGGTGTCCTGGATGATCTCGGCCTTAAGCGTGACTCGATCTCGTGAGTCGTGAGTGTCCAGACGGCCGGCCTTTCGAAGCTCTACTTGATCATGTCGGCTCAGGGCAGGTTCTAAGTCATAGTGGCTTGTAGCAATTCCAAAACTTTGTAAACTTCAAAAGTTTGGTTAACACTTTGCAAACTTTGTACAATCGCCAAACTTTGTCCAAACTTTGTGCAATTACAAAACTTATGTAAACTTGTTGTTAACTTGTAAAATCCAAGACTTTGTAACAACGTTGTCAAAAGTTGAAACTATGTACAATTCAAAAGCTTTTTGTTAAAAGATTGTAAACCGTGTGCAATCGCCAACCTCTGTCCAAACCTTGTGAGAACTTTGTAAACTTTTGAAAGGCTCCAAGACTGCGTAAAACTTTGTAAAATCTTCGTAAGCTGCTTAAAACTCCAAAAAGTTTCGTTAACTTGTTGTAATTTCGCCAAACTTTGTCCAAACTTTTGTCAAAATCCAAAACTGTGTTAAAAAACTCTGTAAATTTGCAAAACTTTGTCCAAACTTTGTAAATCCCGAAAAAAACACTTCGAACATCGCAAAACTTTGCCCAAAATCCCAAAATGTTGTAAACACTTTGTAAAAGTTTGTGAAACGAAGTGTGTTTGTAATTGTTTGTTGTAAAATAAGTGTTTTCATGTGCAGTTTGGTAAAAATAAGTGCCTTTTTTTCACCAACAAGTTGTAAAGTTTGTGAAAACTTTGTAAACACGTTGTACGCTGTGTAAAACTCAAAAACGTTGTTAAACTTTTAAAACATTGTGTAAACTGTGTAAAAATCAAAAACCATTGTAACAACTTTGTAAAAATCAAAAACTTTGTAACCACTTTGTAAAATGTTGTAAACTGTTGTAAAATTGCAAGATTTTGTAAAAATGTGTACACATGTAAAATTCCAAAAGTTTGCACTATCTTTGTCACAGCTTTGTAAATCTTGTAAGATTCCAAAACTGTGTAGGAACTTTGGTAAAAAATCAATATCTTTGACAAAACTTCTGTGAGCATTGAAAATTTGCCAAAGTTTGTCCGAACCGTTCTGTAAAAATCCAGAATTTGAAAAAAAACAAGATGGAGCCCACGAACCCGAATGCAAACACGTTCGAAAAGCTACATATGTGAAATGACACTCTTGTAGGACACTCTTGTGGGTCACTCTTGTAGGAAACTCTTGTGGGACACTCTTACGGGACACTCTTGTGGGACACTCTTCTGGGACACTCTTGTGGGACACTCTTGTGGGACACTCTAGTAGGAAACTCTTGTGGGACACTCTTACGGGACACTCTTGTGGGACACTCTTGTAGGACACTCTTGTGGGACACTCTTGTGGGTCACCCTAGTAGGAAACTCTTGTGGGACACTCTTACGGGACACTCTTATGGGACACTCTTGTGGGACACTCTTACGGGACACTCTCGTAGGACACTGTTGTGGGGCACTCTTGTGGGACACTCTTGTGGGACACTCTTGTAGGACACTCTTGTGGGACACTCTGGTGGGACACTCTTGTGGGACACTCTTGTAGGAAACTCTTTTGGGACACTCTTGTGAGACACGCTTGTGGGACACTGTTGCGGGACACTCCTGTGGGACACTCTTGTGGGACACTCATGCGGGACACTCTTGTGGGACACTCTTGTGGCATGACTCTTGTGGGACACTCTTGTAGGACACTCTTGTGGGACACTCATTCGGGACACTCTTGTGGGACACTCTTGTGGGACACTCCTGTAGGACACTCTTGTAGGAAACTCTTGTCGGAAACTCTTTGTGGGACACTCTTACGGGACACTCTTATGGGACACTCTTGTGGGACACTCTTGTGGGACACT